GGTTTGCAGCCCGATTCGTAACCACTACGCTACCAGAGATAACGGCAATATACGCCCATTTTTAAAGCATGAAAACTGAGGCTCAGCAAAGTTAAGAAATGTTTTGGTTAATAATAGAGGGGTAGCCAACTTATGAATTCAAGCCCATGCATATTAACTTTGAAAAGCTCAGCTGTAAGCCAGAAGGTAGGCAGTTCAAATCCATCCAAGTTCCACATGACAAACGCCTGGTAATTTGTTTCTATAAAGATTCCAGAGAGACCTCACAGGGCAGTTCTACTCTGGGGTTGCTATGAATTGGAATCGACTTGATGATACAACAACAATAAATCCCAAGAAATACATTTGTTCCCATTTTACAGGTGGGGAAACTGAGACTTAAAAGGCCACAGAGCCAGGAAGCAGATGAGCCATGCAGCCAGGACATTCAGATTTCTTAACTTGGAGCCCTTCTCTGGCACCATTTCCTACTGTCTGAGAAACTGGCTGTGGTGAGTGCCCCCCAATGTGGCCTCAGTAGAGACCCCAGGATATGGCCACGCTAAGGCTCCAAAGGACGCAGCTCTGGAGACAGAGTTGAGCGGCCGGGCTAGTCCCATCACCCTCTGGGCTGCCCACACAGGATGCTCAGAAGGGTTTTTATGTAACGGATGGAAGTGACCTGCAGGCTCTTCCAGCTCCAACAGGACTGGGCTGTGTTTGGTTCAGTTGTATATGGGGTGCTAGAGTCCTGGTGTGGTGCTGTAGGATAATGCACTGGACTGCAAGGTCAGTTTGCACCTCAAGGTTGGCGGTTCAAACTCACCAGCCACTCCCTGGAAACGCTATATAGGATTGCTGAGTTGGAACTGACTAGATGGCACTTAATAACTTTAAGGAGCTCTTGTAGCATAGTGATTATGAGTCGAGCTGCCAGCCTCAAGGTCAACAGTTCGAAACTACCAGCAGTTCCGTGGGAGAAAGATGAGGCTTTCTGCTCCTGTAAAGATTTACAGCCTCGAAAAACCTGTGTAGGGTCACTATGAGTACGCCATGGTCCTTAACAACAACAGGGTTTGTGCACCACCTGGTGGCCACTCTTTGGAACTGCATTGCCCCATGGTAGAAAGCCTTGTCCTTTCCCACCTCCCACCAAGAAGGTTTGGGGGCTGGGCTCCCAACAGTTGCGAAGCTCCCATTCTGCTCAGGCCCAGAATGGACATTTGAAGAAGGTGGACATGGGACAGACCTCTAAGGGTGAGACAGTAGCTAGAGGGGACTACCTGGGAAGCCAAGGTGGCAGGAGCTCCCAGAAGCCCCTCCCTGAAGCAGGTTTGAGATCTTTTCTTCCTCAGCCTCTAGCCCACTTAAAAGAGTAAAGAGGGCCCGCTCCTCCTGCGACCCCAACAAAGGACACCTCTGCGTGACACACAGGCCTCGATCTGAAAGCCCACCTGCTCGCCGTACCCAGACAGGATCAGACGTGGAAGCAGGACAGAGGAGGCAGCAGAATGGCAGGCTCAAAGAACTGAATCTAAGATGCTGGGGCTCAGCTGGGAGAGGGTGGGGATGGGTTGTCATCGCTATGGGGCTCTGGTGGGGCAGACAATCAGCCCCTGGCCTGCAGGGTGGCCCCCGGAAGCTTACCTGTCTAAGCCTCTGTGTCTCAGTTTTCTCCTCTGTAACCCCAAACTTCATGAGCTTAATGCAAAGATTAGCAATGGTGTCCTCTACAGCCAAGGAACCCCATTAGCATAGTGCCTTACAAGCTGGGCTGCAAATGGCAAGGTCAGCATTTTGGATCTACTAGCTGCTCTGCTCTGTGGGAGAAAGGTGAGGCTTTCTGCTCTGGTAGCGTAGTGGTTACGAATTGGGCTGCGAGCCTTAAGGTCAGCGGTTCGAAACTACCAGCCGCTCCGCGGGAGAAAGATGAGGCTTTCTACTCCCGTAAGGATTTACACCTTCGGAAACCCTGTACAGGGTCGCTATGGGTCGGAACCGACTCGACGGCACTTAACAACAACAACAAAGATTTGCTGTACAGGGTCACTTTACATCTGAACCGACTCCACTGGCACATCTCCACCACAGTCCAAGGTGATATAAAGATTTAATCACTGACCAGTTAGAATAGACACCAGCCTCCCCTTACCTGCCCACCCCCAGGCACAGCTGCACCAGTGCTTGCTAGCTAAACATGTGCATGGGGTAAATAACATCCCAGTACAATGCCTGCCACCACAGAGACATCCAGTAATCATCATGATTATTATCACAACTTTATTTCTATTCCACAGGCCCAGTGGGGCAGAGCTCAGATTCAAGTCAAAGCGGTAGTGAGAAAGGTTTCATCCCTGATGTGAGGGAGACAGATGTCTTCTAATCAGAGGCCAGTCAGGAATCACCAGGAAGAGATGCTGTTGTTGCAAAGTGTTGTTGAGTCAGTTCCAACTCATAGTGACCCTGTATAGGGTTTCCGAGGAGCGGCTGGTGAGTTTGAACCGCCAACCTTGCAGTTCAAACCAACCTTGCCATCTAGTGCTTATCCCACAGCGCCACACCAGGAGGTGATGGGAGACTATAATGGGACAGGGCAGGGAGGGGAATAAAAACAATAGTTGAACTGTAAGACAGTTGGGAATGGTGAGGATTGTGGCAAACTGCAGAACTTAGACCAGGTCTGCTGGGGGATGTAACCTTGATGATGGCCGGATCTTCTGGTTATGTAAGGGAAACTAAACATCCTGATTTTTAAGTGAAATTCCCAGTCTTTAAGTGTTAGCTCAAACTTTTTTAATGCTGAACCAAAGCTATCCCCTGTTTGAGGCCAAGGGCCTGGGGGTGCCCTATTTACTGAGACTCTAGGGGGCCAGGTCCCAGGCCTCTCCCACCCCCTTAGGGCTCTCACCGGCTGGGCCTGTGGGCCTTTTCCTTCGGGGCCCTGGGTGGGCGAGAGGGATGGCATCAGGGAGGAAGTCCTCGTTCCAGGGTGGCAGGGTGCTCTGGGGGGCTGGCAGGTCGTTGTCCGGGCCTGAGGGTAGCTCTGCTGCCTCCAAGAGGAGAACCTGAGCCAAGAGAAGAGCTGAGGGTCAGACGTGGTCAGGGACACATGTGTGCAGAGGATACACACACAGGCAGGGTTACAGGAGCAGGGGGCTCACAAGATCTGCAGCTGCCGGCCGCTGGACACACTCTTCAGTAAGGCCACCATTCCTGTTGTTGGAATGTTCACTCCCCTCACCCACTGCTGCGCATTTCAGAAAGCCCTCTGGCACCCCCTGGGCTTGAGCAGGTCCCCATCAGACCTCCCTGATCTTTCCCTCTGCAGCACTTATCGCTGTGACCAGACTGGTGACTGAGTGAGTGATGACCGCAGTCACCCATTTCATTGGCAGCTCCCTATGGGAGATCACACTGCCCGGCTCGGTGCACAAATTCTTTGCTCAAGGAGTATTTGTGGGTGGATGGATGGATGGATGGATGGATGGATGGATGGATGGATATGTAGGTGGATGGATGTGTGGATACATACATGTGTGTGCATAGAAATGGGTGGATGGATAAACAGGTTGATGATGAATGGATGATGGGTTGCTAACTGCCGGAGAATTGGTACAGCCTCATTGTGTCCTTGTGCACAACAGAACAAAACACTGCCCAGTCCTGCACTACCTTCACAATTGTTGTGTTTGAACCTATTGTTGTTGCCATGGTGTTGGTCCATCTCATTGGGGGGTCTTCCTCTTTTTCACTGACCAAATATGATGTCCTTCTCCAAGGTCTGGTCCTTCCTGACAACATGTCCAAAGTATGAGAGACGAAGTCATACCATCTTCAATTCTAAGGAGCAGTCTGGCAGTGCTTTTTCCAGAATAGATTTGTTTATTCTTCTGGAAGTCCATGATACTTTCAGTATTCTTCCCCAACACCGTAATTCAAGCATGTCAATTCTTCTACGGTCTTCCTTATAAATTGTCCAGGTTTCACACGTACGTAAGGTAAATGGAAAAACCAAAGCTTGGGTCAGACACACCTTTGTCCACGCAGTGATATCTTTGTTCTTGAACACTTTAAAGAGGCCTTTTGTAGCACATTTGCCTAATGCAATACGTGGTGTGATTTCTTGACTGCTGATTCCATGAGTGTTGATTGTGAATCCAGGTAAAATGAAGTCTCTGACAGCTGGGTATAAAGGGTCGTCTCTGTGCATGTTTCTTTGTAGGAAAACAAAGAGTGGCTGTGATTTCCCAGGTCCATGCAGCTCTGTAGGATAAGCACTGGACCAAAAGGTTGGTTTGAACCACAAGGTTGGCGATCCAAACTCTCACCAGCAGCTCCTTGGAAACCTATACAAGGTGGCTATGAGTTGGAACCAACTCCACTGATGGCACTTAACAACAACGACAGCAACAGCCTGGAGAGCAACCTCTTTCTGTATCCTCGAGGAGCTCAAGGGTCAAAGATGGCCAGGGCCTGGGCCACAGGTAAAACTTCATGCAGACAAGCAGGAAACCTCACAGGCCCCAAAGAGTCCTTGCTGTTCCCAAACAGGCCAGCAGGGGGCGCTGCATGCCCAGACTGGCCACTGAACGCTGACTGAGCCCCTTCAAAGGCCTTCCCAGGGCAGTATCTGACGTAGTTCCAGCACCCTGCTCCCCTGCACTCCTGACTTACTGCCCTGGTCTGTCCAGTGAGAAAGGCCACTGTGTCTCAGGTTTTCTCAGCTGTCAGACTGTTTCCATCCTGCCCTGGACAACCTTCAGGAACTTGGATTTGCTGCCCTCTGCTCCTGACCTTGAGCAGGTGACTCTTCTGTCCTGGCTCCACCCTAAATCTCTCTGGGTCTGTGAGGAGATCTCAGGACCTCAGGGTGCTCTCCAGCTCCTTCCAGGAACCAATCAGAGGAGGACAGCAGGGAGACCAGCTCCTTCCTCAGCACAGGCTGAGGGTCTCCAGATTTGGAAGGACAAGCACTCTGCCATCCTGTGACCTCGGGCAAGTGCTGTGACCTCTGTACCTCAGTTTCCTGTCAGCAAAATGACCTCTCACACGCCAGTCACTGCTGCTGACAGGGGGTCCTGGAAACCAAGCCGGGCCTGTCTGGGAGGCTTGTGGGAGTGGACAAAGGCTCCCTCAGCCTCTTCATCATCAGCAGTTCTGCAGTGTCTCTGGACACTGGGGGGCCCTGGGAACTCCAGGGATGCTTCTCAGAGACCCTCCCCTTTCTGGTCCATGAGGCAGGAAGGGTCCCCAAGGCCACTAGTCCACAGGCCATGGGCCCGGTGGCATGAAGCCACCATGGGTGCCCCTCCCCACAGCTGAGTTTCAGAAGGCACAGAAGAGAGAGGCTTCTTGCAAGCACATGACTACCAGCAGTAGAATCACAATCCCCTGGGCTCCCCCTTAGGAGGTCATGCTTCTGATTCCTGCCCAACAGCCTCTGGGAAGCTGACTGGTGACGGTCAAGATTCAGGCCCCAGGAGGGGCTGAGGTTCTGGTACCCTGGGGACTGGGGCAGTAGAGTGGGTGGAAGCTGGCATGGTTCCCCATTTCTGGCTTCACTATTGGAGGTCACAGGAGGGAGTAGAATTGGGGTGCAAGTGATCAGTGTTGCTGAATATATTTGTACAGGGCATTTCCAAAGATCTTGGAGTTGAAGTAGGACCCGCTGAGGTGGCTGAGGAAACAGAAAGGTGAGCAGAGGGAAGGGTGGAGGAAAGTCAGGGGACAAGGAGCTGCAGGGGTGGCAGGGATCTGAGGAGACACACCTGGACTTTCGTGGCAGGGCCCTGGCTCCACCAAGGCACCTGTCATCTGAGGCCTTGCCCAGTACAGAAGGCCTGGCACACTCACCACCCCCCGCAACAGACGTCACTGCCCACTGGCCCAACGACCAGGCCGAGGCATGCTGGCTATGGCCGGAGTCCCGACTTTCTTGGGCTGGCCATGGCCAACCTCCTGGAGAAACCGAGCCCATTCCAGTCCTGGCCATGAGCTCACCAGAGTGGGCAGCTGAATGTGGGTCGTCAGCCCAAGAACACCAGACCACAGTCATCTAGGGCAGTGGCCTGGTGATGTCACTGCAGGCTGGTAATTGGCCAAGACACCACCTTCCCGGACCAGAGGCCAGCCAGGCTGGGAGGTTGCGTGACCCTCATGCACAGAGATCCTCTTGGATTCCCTCCCACCTCCAGGGGCCATGAAGTCTGAGAATAAGTTGAGGGGGTAGAGAGGATGAGGTGGTGGGTGACTAACCCCCACTTCCCTTGTTCTGGGACTTTCTACTGTATAGTTGTGGGCATACCCCAGAAGAGACTCAAAATTGGCCTAAGCCAGACATAGCAGGCTCTTTCATCTTGGCCAGGTACTTGCTTTCCCAGCCTGCCTTGCAACAGTAGTGGCCAATGAATGAGACATAAAAGAGTCTGTTTATGTCTGACCCCCTTGACTGCTTCCTGTCTTTGAACACAGGGCAAAGATGTGGTGTCTCAAGTGGCTGTCACCATGTAATCATGAAACACCAAACATGAGGACAAAAGTCAGTTCACTAAGGTAGCAAAGGGGACAGTTGTGAAGAGTTTGGGGATACCAAATCAAACCTGCGACCACCTACTGTTAGATAAACAATAAACATCCTTACAAAATAATCTACTGAGGACCGGGTTTCTGTTCCTTGTAGAAGCTTCTTGACTCGGGGAGTAGACGGTCTGTCCCTAGGTCTCTGGGCTGCCATGATATCTTCCAGTGCCTGATATCTGACTCCCTGTCCGAGGTCCACCTACCTGGCTGTTGTCTTTTCTCACCTTGACCCCAGCCACTAAGCTGAGCCCACCCACGTTCTCTGTGATTCCTGATGGCTCACCTGGCCTCCCAGCAGCCCCTGAGGAGCTGAGCTGTCCTGGTCCCTCCCCCAGGTCATGCCCACGCCCCACACTGTGCCCTCTCCCCTCTCTTTGTCTTCACCCTAGCCATACCGCCCTCTCTGCAGTCTTTCCCCAGGCTGTGCCCCACCCCCCACACATGCACACTGCACCATGTGTCTACCACCACTCTGCCCTCTTCCCCAAGGCCGCCCCAGCCCTGGCCCCATCCTCCGGCAGCCTTGGCTTCCTACAGCCTTCTGTTTCTACCTCCAGAGGCTCCTGGCCCCAGGTGGGCCAGCTGTTACATATTGCCTGTGACCAGGGGTTTGGGATGCTGGGGCACCCACAAGGGCAGCTCTCCATGTCTTGGGATTGTATGTGCCTTGCAGGGATCTCTCTGCCTGGATGGTGGGGACCTGAGGGGCTCCAGGATATCAGTCCACCACTTGCCATTTGTAAAGTAGGTCCCCCAACGTCTTTCCCTGAGGCTCCCAGCAACCCCGCAAGGCTGGTACTCAGACCCATTGTGCAGATGGGTAAGTGGGAGCTCAGAGAAAGCTCACCCAAGTCCCCAGGGACAGTCACATTCGGCAGATATTCTCTGATTCCTGCCACAATGACTGACCACCCACCAGTCCCAACAGCCTCTGGGAAGCTTACTGGTTACAGTCAAAATTTAGGTTCTAAGAGGCAGGCCCCAAGGGCAGGACAGGGTGGCAAGAGCTGTGTTTGTGTGCATATGTGTGGGTGTACACATGCATGTTCGTGTTGTACTCATTTGATCTGAGGTATGGCCAGATTCAGGCTACTGAGGCCTGCTCTATGGGGGGGCTCACCCTCTACACCTTGCTGCTTTCGTACTCACACTAAGCCCCCGTCAGCTGGCCAGGCTTGCACACCTCCTACACCAGGAAGCTCACTCCGGCACAACAGCGTCGTTCATCATACGAATTCTGTCTGCGCTCAGGAAGACCCATTCTCCCTGGTCCTGGCTGCCCTGGAAGCCAGGTGACCCCAATAGTTCCTGAGACCCAAGTCACTTCACAGAGCCCAGGAGATGACCACCGCAGACACTTTGGCCCGTCCTTGTCTGCTTAGACCTCCAGCCAACCTCACAGCAGCAGCTGTCCCTGAAGGTGGTAGAGCTTTGGCCCCACCTGCGTGAACACCTAGGGCAGATGTCTCCACCTGGAGACAGCACTGGCGTCTCTCTGCAGGCTGCTGTGAGTCTCCGCCCTCCCCCAGCCAGGCCCCAGTGTCCAGGTTCCTGACTCCGTCCCACCTTGGCCTCCAGCGTGGTCAGCCGCTCATTCATGTTGCTGAGCCGAGTGCAGTTCATGCATTCTGAAAGAGGAGAGGAGCAGAGGTGAGGGCAGAGGGCTGGCCCTCTGCTCATTTGGCCTGGAAAACTCCTACCCTGCCTTCAGGGTCTTATCCTCAAGGCCCATCCTTCAGGCAGCCCGTCTGGCCTCTGAGTGTCTGTTCTGTGTCACCCAGGAGACCTTGCTGGTGTATCGATGGCTCCCAGGATTGATATCATCCCCCGATGACTCCCAGTGCCTGGCACAAGTAGGGGCTCAAAAACCTTGGCATTACAATGCCACGCTCCTGGACACTGAGAAGGCTGGCCTGGGAGAAGAGAGCCAGCTGAGAAGGGCTCTGCTAGGACTGCCTGTTCGGAGGGTGCCAGGCCATCGGGGTGGCTTGCAGGGGCAGAAGCAGCTGTGGAGAGACCCGAGGTACGGGCAGTAGTTGGTCATGTGAGGAAAAGGGGAGAGGCTGTGTTCCAGTGGAGGAAAGAGCAGGTAACGGGGAGAAACAGCCCCAAGGAGCCATGGTACAGAGGGACAGGGATGGTGGGGGGTTCAGAAGAGGGTGGACCTAACAGAGGTCCTGGACTGGGGCATCAGGCAGTATCCCGGGGCCCGCGGATGGTGTTAGAGAAATTACATGGGTGAAGTTAAAGTCATTTTCAAGTCTCTCTCTGGAAGAGAGAGGGTGGGAGTGGGGACTCGGGGCAGGAAAAGCCATATGATGAACCCCAAGGCACGCATCTGCCCATGCCATAATTCCTATGTATGTCTGTCTCCCCCAGAGACGGGAGCTCTTTAATGAGAAAATAGATGGTTCAAAGCTGCTCTGAAGAGCTTTTATTGCTCTAGAAGTCAGGGACCACCTATAAACATCCCTTTCCTTGCTGAGTTCAAAGCCTGACCCCATAGGGACCCCATTCTGGTTAAACAGAAACACAGAGCAAGAGGCAAGTATGGTAACTCCATAGGCCTCTCTTGGTGAGATCTTAGCTGGGGAGCCCAGCATGCTCACCATGCGAGTCCACACACTGCCAGCCCCCACAGGTCCCTGGGAATTCCTCCATCTTTGCAACTTCTTCTACGCTTGAACACAAATCACTTTGGCAAACTTTCCTGTTCTAAAGTATCAGTTTCTCCATGAGACAGAGCTGTGGGAAGAACTAAGACCGGATCTTACAGTCATGGTTATAGTTGGTCCTGGTTCTATCCCAACTCTTGCTCACCGGCACATATCTGGTTTACACAAAGGTACCGTATGGATGGTCAGGGTCCTGCTCACCACCCTCCTCTCCCTCCCCTTGGCAGGGCTAAGTCAGTGATTTGTTGTTGTTGTTATGTGCCGTGGAGTCGGTTCCGACTCATAGTGACCCTGCACAGGGTTTCCGAGGCTGTAAATCTTTACAGGAGCAGAAAGCCCCATCTTTCTCCCACGGAGCAGCTGTTAGTTTTGAACTGCTGACCTTGCGGCTCGCAGCCCAATTCATAACCACTACACTACCAGAGCTCCTTAAGTCAGCATTAAAATAAAAAAATAAAAAATAAATAGCAACAGAACTTTCTTTCCTCCTCAGTAAAATCTTGTCAGTAACCCCAGTACATAAAGTAGATTAAAGACTGAGGTATAAACATTGGAACATTACACCAACTAGAAGAATGTACACATCTTCCCTGATTCTGCGATGGGGACGGACTTTATAGAGAAGGTTAGTTTGGGATTAAATGTAGCGGATTGAACACACATATTTGCTCCGGTTCCTCCCAGGATGGTGATGGTAAAGAAATAACAAAAGGTATAAAACTACAGGACAGAGAGAAGGACAGAGGAGACCTCGCTGCAGACCAGCAATGCCAGTGACATTTTGCAAGATGGAACACAGCCATGCAGAAGTTGCAACTTAGCAAACCAGAGAAGGGTTGAGAGATTGGAGAGTCCAGGCTCTGCTGAAAGCTGGAAATAGCCCCAAATGGGACAGGGGAGGGCTGCCCTATGGCTAGAGGGACTGGACACTTGGGGAGGCCTCCATGAAGCTCCACCTCCCAGTCTACAAGTCCCAGGAGGATGGACAGCCCAGGGTTTTCCTTACTATTTCCATCGAAATATGAACAGATAGTCCAGAGATCCTAGCTCTTAAAAGAAAGCCTTCGATGAGAAAGAGACTGGAACAAGCAGGATCCCATTTGCCCACCCACTCTAGCACCCGCCCAAAGAGCCCTCTTGAAGCCTTCTGAGTGACATCCACAGCTGCTAACCTGAGGGTCAGCAGTTCGAACCCACCAGCTGCTCCATGGGAGACAGATTTGATGACCTGCTCCCGTAAAGATTCCAGCCTAGAAAATTTCATGGGGGCAGTTCTACTCTGCCCTGTCAGACTCTAACTGTGAGTCAGAATCAACTCCACATCACACAGTACCTTCCCGCTCAGGGAACTCACCACCCATTGATCTCATTCCTCATCCTTCCGCCCACCTGCCCACCTTCCACCAACTCATCCTCCCAACTGAACTTCACTTATCTGGTCAAACTATTTCTTACTCATTCACCCACACACCTGTCACCCTACTAAACCACCCCTCATGCACTTGGAGGCATACTCCTGGGGCTCTCGGTGGCCCTGGTTAACATTGATGGGGTGAAGCTAGTTGAGGAAATGCCCACGAACCCCGAGCAGCGGGGTGCTGTGGGATAAACTGTAGACTCTGGGAGCAGAACTGGCCCGAATGACTTTGAAAACACAGTAACTCTCCTATTCAAGCCTCAGTCTCTTCCTCCACACTGGGGTACCCCTTGGGGGCAATGGGAGGGTGGAGCAGCGATGGATGTGGGTGAGTCGTAAAGTGGAGCTAGTCACAGAAAACCACCACTCACCCCACCAAGGGAACTGTGAAAACCGCACATTCTTGAGGCTTCGAGGCCAGGAACAGAGTGTTTCCAGGTTCTGAGGCAACAAATAGGGCTCTCTGCAGGGGGGAAGGTCGGAAGGGAGGGACGCGCTTTGGCCTTGAAGGAACTTATTTCTGGAAAGTGTGTTGGCCTGGGCCCAGTTTGCTCTGGCACCGGGCACCCAGCTTGGCTGTCAGCAGGGTCAGGGTGTCCAGCTCCCCAACCACAAAGAGGCCTGCAAGGCCCCGCCAGCAGGCCGAGGGGAGCAGCCAACTGGGGCTCCCCGTACCACCTGCCTGGGCAGACGCACCGTACGGGGTGGGTTTTATGGTTCCCTGGGCACACTGTCATCCACAGGCAATTAAACAATGTTTGCTTAACTTGATTTAATTATTCCTCAGCGCTGTGGCAACACAGAAACAGTGCTGCTGCCGCAAGTTCTGGCGCTGCCTGACCCTGTGTGCCCCCATCTCCAGCCTCTGCTTCCCTCTCTGGATGAGACCCCAAAGGTGACACTTTCCACATCTCCAGACTCCCATGTGTTCCAGCATCTTTCCGCAGCACACCCAGGACACGTCCTGGGCTCTAGGAGGCAAAGACTGGTGCTGGTCTGAAGACCGGAAGTGTGCATGTGCAGGAAAGATGCTATGTGTGTGTGAGAGAGAGACTTCATGGTGAAAGAAAGGAGACCTGTGTCGTGTTTGCCACCAACTCACTGTACAATTTGGATGAAGCCCCTCTCTGCACTTCAGTGTCCCCATCTGTAAGAAGGGGTGACACGGACTCAGCTTTAAGGGCCTCAGGCCCCAGGATTCTGCCTTTGTCCTTGGCCTCTCGCTCATGGCTCTGGCCCCCACTGCAAGAGAGTCAGATGCCAAGTCCGCCTCCATTTGCTTTTGGCCAGAACTGCTCAGGTGACTCCCATGCACCCAGGATTCTGGATTTGTCTCTTGAGCGAGGCTGGGTTCCCAAGGGTAGAAGATCTAGGTGTCATACTGCCAGGGAACCTCAAGAAGCACAGTGGGTCCACGGTGGGCTCCACAATCTCACCCCAGCATCGAAGTTCAAAAAATCAGAAACCAACAAATGCTGGGGAGGGTGTGGCAAGTTTGGGACCCTCCAACACTGCTGAGGGAGCTGTAAAATGGTGCCGCCATCATGAAATACGGGATGGCACTTTCTCAGAAGGTTGGAAATAGAAATACCGTTCAACCCAGCAATCTCTCTACCTGGTTTATATCCTCAAGAAATAAGAGCCGTGACACGAATAGAATAATGCACACCCCACACCCTTGTTCACTGCAGAACTGTTCATGACAGCAACACAATAAAGACAGATGAAATACCCATTAGTAGAGGAACAGTTGAACAAACTCTGGTTCACACATACAGTGGAGTATCATGCAATGCTGAAGGATAGCGATGAAGCTGCAAAACACCGTGTAACATGAAGAAGTCTGAAGGACGGTTGTTCTGAGTGAAAATAATTGGTCGCAAAGAGACATATTGTATGAGACTGGTGT